AAACAAGAATTCAAAAAAATGAGGAGAGACTTAGGAACCTCCAGGACATCTTTAAACATTCCAACATCTGAATTATAGGGGTACCAGAAGGGGAAGAGGAACAGCCACCAGTGGAAAACTTATTTGAACAAATAATAAAGGAGAACTTCCCCAATCTGGCAAAGAAAATAGACTTCCAGGAAATCCAGGAAGCTAGCTCAGAGAGTCCCAAAGAAGTTGGACCCAAGAAGGAACACACCAAGGCACATCATCATTACATTAGCCAAGATTAAAATGAAGGAGAGAATCCTAGAAGCAGCAAGAGACAACGGGACAGTCACCTACAAAGGAGTTCCCATCAGACTGTCATCTGATTTCTGAAAAGAGACCTTCCAGGCAAGAAGGGGCTGGAAAGAAGTATTCCAAGTCATGAAATCCAAAGACCTACATCCAAGATTGCTCTATCCAGCAAAACTTTCATTTAGAATGGAAGGACAGATAAAGTGCTTCTCAGATCAGATCAAATTCAAGGAGTTCATCATCACCAAGCCCTTATTATATGAAATGTTCAAGGGACTTATCTAAGAAAAAGAAGATAAAAAAGATGAACAGTGAAAGGAGAGCAAACTCACAGTTATTAACAGCCACACCTAAAACAAAAGCAAACTAAGAGGATAGCTAGATCAGGAGCAGAACCATAGAAATAAAGACCACATGGAAGGTTAGCAACAGGGGAGTGGGAGAATGAGAAGGGGGGAGAAGGTACAGAAAATAAGTAGCATAGACGATAGGTAGAAAATAGATAGGGGGAGGGCAAGAATAGTAGGGGAAATATGGAATTTAAAGAACTTGAGACACGTGGTCAGAAACTAAAGGGGGGAATAGTTGGGGAGGGGTGTGCAGTGTGGAAGGGAATGAAGGGGGGAAATAGAACAACTGTAATGGCATAATCAATAAAGTATATTTAAAAAAAGAAGCTACATTCATATAGTCAGGTAGGAGGGGTGGAGCCAGGGAGCCCTGGGGGAGAGGACACAGTGTGGCAGCAGCGAGCCAGTGATGGTGAGGCAGCAGGGGCAGCTGGCGGAACGGGAGGTCCCACATTCATGTGTGGTGGATTAAGGGGAACCCTGCCCCACAAAGTCCTCCTAGTCGCTGATGAAATAAGCTGGCCTGGACACGATATGTCTGGGGAGAAAGGGGCTGGCGATCCTCTCTAGTGGAGAATGTGCCAAACCCTTCCTCAAAACGGCTTTTATTGAGATTGGTATGTGTAGGGGTACACAGTATACATGCATAGCTCATCAATCAATGTCAAAAGACTATAGCTATAGAAAACAGGTATTCTTTACAGACAACAGTTGAAGGAACGCAGGTATCTGCCTCAGGTCAGGGTCTGTTAGATAGGCTGACTCCAGAGGGTTGGTAAGGCATGGTTCATGACATTAGGAGTTCACTCCCTTATGCTTTGAACATAAACATCTGGTTTATATCAACAGGGATATACAAAGCAAAGCAATCTTCAAAGGATACAATGTATTCTTCAGGCCTGATTTCCCATGGGAACCCTAGGTGTTAGTATGGGGTCATGCCTGCCTCCTGTATTCCTGGCTGTCTGGTCAAGCCTTACAGGCCTCTTTTAAGGCCTTGCTTTCACAGGGCTACAGTCTCCAATACAACACAAAGTGGTCCCCAACTGTGGATAAAAATCAGTAGGACACCTTGTGAGTCACAGAGCCCAACCCTTGGCCAGTTTGTGCAGCCCAGGGGTCCAGCACCAGGAAAAATAAAGCCTCATAAGTTCTAGCTATTAAAACTAGTGGTGGTTTAGGCAGTGGAAGAAACTGCCAGTTTCTGCCAGTTTCAAGAGAGCCTAGAAGTATGCAAACCCACCCACCCTTGGAACCACAACCAGGGCAGCAGCTGGAGGGACTCCAGTCACATTCAGAAAGTGGGTTAAGTGACTGGAAACAGGGCAAGTACCAGACAAGCCCCCAAAAGTCAACCAGCAGCAGCACTGTCCCCTCTTCAACCCCTCCCCCACACATGGAGCCACAAAGTGGTGAAGTAGGCTGCCCACTCTGGTGAATACCCAAGGCTCCACCCAATACAACTTGATAGGTGAGCTAAGACAGGGACTCAAAGCAGCTCTACCTAGGGACATAGGGAGGCTGTCAAATTGAGGAGACAAAGAAATATGGCCCAAATGAAGGAACAGAACAGACCCCCAGAAGAAGAACTAAGGGACACAGAGATAGCCAACCTATCAAATGCAGAGTTCAAAACATTAGTGATCAGAATGCTCAGAGAGCTCATTGAATACATCAAAACCATAAGGGAAGATATAAAGGCTCCACTAAGTAAAATAAAGAAAAATCTGCAGAAACCAATAGTGAAGGGAAGGAAGCCAGGATTCAAATCAACATTTGGAACATAAGGAATAAATAAATATTCAACCAGAACAAAATGAAGAAACAGAAATTGAAAGAAACAAGAAGTGTTCAAGAAGACCATGGGACATCTCCAAAAGGGCCAACATTCAAATCATCGGGACACCAGAAGGAGAAGAGCAAGAACAAGAAATTGAAAACTTACTAAAAAAAAATAATGAAAGGAAACTTCCCTGATTTGGCAAAGGAAATAGACATACAAGTCCAGGAAACACAGAGAGTCCGAACAAGTTGGACCCAAAAAGGAACACAACAAGACATATCGTAATCAAAATGCCAATGGTTAAAAATAAAGAAAAACTCTTAAAAGCAGCAAGAGAAAAGCAGAGAGTTACCTACAAAAGAGTTTCCACATCAGCTGATTGCTCAAAAGAAAATTTGCAGGACAAAAGGGACTGGTAAGAGGTATTCAAAGTCATTAAAAGGAAAGGACCTACATCTAAGATTACTCTATCCAGAAAAGCTATCATTTAGAATTGAAGGACAGATCAGTGCTTCCCAGATAAGGTCAAGTTAAAGGAGTTCATTATCACCAAGCCCTTATTATATGAAATGTTACAGGGTTTCTTTTAAGAAAAAGAAGATAAAAAATTATGAACAGTGAAATTATAACAAACTCATAACTATCAATAAGTGAATCTAAAAAACAACAACAACAAAAAATCAAGCAAAAACTAGAACAGGAACAGAATCACAGAAATGGAGATCATGGAGAGTTATCATTGGGGAGGGGGAGGGGAAGATTGGGGGGAAAAGATTCAGAAAATAATAAGCATAATAGGTAGGCACATAATAGTCGGGGAGGTTAGGAACAGTACAGGAAATGGAGAAGCCAAAGACCTTATAGAAGGCTGTGCACAACCCATGGACATAAACTAAGGGCAGGGATTGTTGGAGGGAAGGGGGATACCAGGTGGAGGGAGGCAAAGGGGGAAAATTGAGACAACTGTAATAGCACAATCAATAAAATATATTTAAAAATACAAAAAAACCATAAAATGTATAAAAAGGGCTATATAATATAAAAATTAGTTAAATAAAATAAATGAATAAACAAAATTAAAATTAGTCTACTTATATTAGTAATAAGTAAATAATCTAGTGACTAAAAAATAACTAAATAAAAATTCATGAATTTTTACTGAATAAAAATTCAGGAGTACATACAAGTGATAAATCAAGAACCTGATGGATACCACCTTACCAAGCGACTGAAGTTAGAAGTTATGGTCACCAAAAAAACGGTGCAAGCTGACATTGCTTATATAGAAATCCCAAGTATTTTTAAAAATTCACTCATAAGTGAATTTGGCATGGTCAAAGAATACAATGTCATTGTATAAAAATCAATTGTATTGGGTTGGCCAAAAAGTCTGTATGTTTTTTTTTTTTCATAAAATAAAAGGCACATTTTTCATTTTCCCAATAACTTTATTGATTTGAGTATTTTGAGTATGTTAGCTATCTCCCACATGGTATAACATTGATTATTCTCAATTAATGTCTTGATTTGATTGCTATTAAGTTCAACTGGTCTACCCTACCAGGAAGCATTGTCCAGCAAGAAAACTCCAGCATGATACTTTGGAAACCACTTTTGACATCTTTTGACACGTTCAATCAGTCATAGCACCTTCTCCACACACTGCACAAATCTTTTTTTTTTGTATTTCAGTTGCATTTTTATCTTTCTTGAAATAATAAAGCACAATATGCTGAAAATGTGTATTTTCTTCCGTCTTCAATATTAAAATAGCTACACAAAAATTCACCTGTTTTGAGATTTTTTAAAAATACACACTGATGTGACTACTGTCATAATACGATCTAACGAAATTGTTTTGAATGAAGTTAAAGACAACTAAGTGCTGCTCCTAGAGCCATCTTTTAGAAAAATCCACTTTTCAGCCAACCTAGTATTTCCATATATGAGCAATAAAAAATTTAAAATAACAATAGCATCAAAAGCATAATTTGGGTGTGTTGATAGCAATGTTCTAAATTAAGATTATGGTGGTGATCACAAGATTATACACATTTGTTAAAACTCATAGCATTGTACACTTAAAATTAGTGAATTTTATTGTAATGAAAATTATACTTCAGAGAGTGAGCACCTACCATGTGTCATGTTCTGGATGCAGAACATACAATAAGGAAAAAGATAAAGCTTTTCCATTGAAGCTAACTTTCTAGACACCGTTTGAATGTGTTAGTAAAATGCACTCCCTTGTCATTTGGGCAGCTTTCTGCCTAAATTATTTTTTATTATGCCCCTTGCCCAAAAAAGGATCAATGAAAAACAACCCAGGCCCTAGACCACTAAGACACGTGATTCCGTAATCTACTCTCCCGCAAAACTCCAGCGGACCTAGAAGGTTGAACAACACAATCCCAGACCCCTATTAGCCGGAAGCCGGCTTCCGGCGGCGGGACCAAGACGGCCCGGATCCCGGAAGTTCGTGCAGTGTCTTTAGCTCTCGCGGCCGCGGGGCGGACTGAAGCCCGGAAGTTCGCCAATGGCTGTGCTCCCTGGTTGGGTAGCGACCTGGGCCTGCCAGCGAGGTAAGATCTGTTCGGGCGTTCCTGGGTATGGCCAGTCCCGCGGGGGTCGGGGCTGCGGTCGCGGGCGCAGCCGTTGTCACGCTTCTTTCCGCCGCGCTAGCGCTCTACGGGCCGCCGCTGGAAGCAGGTAAGCGGCTGCTGGCTGCTTGTCCACACGGGAAACGTTGCGGTGGGTCCGCGAGTAGTTGTGAGCTGCGCCGGGGAGCTGGGGAGCGGGGGTGGCTGAGGGTGGCCGTGGGTGGCCGTGGGTGGCCGAGGCGAGCACCGGCGGACCCAGAACCACGTGACCCCGGGGGGCCTGGCCGCACCTTTCGGGACTGCAGAGCTTTCAAGTCCGTCTTGGCGAAAGTAATTGCTAAAGAGTTTTTGGCTTCTTGCTTTTAAGCATGGTGGGTCCAAATGCTTTGAGGATTATTGAGGGGTTTTTCAGCAAATGCACCTCACTTAATCACACCAGCTTCAGAGGGGCTTCTGGAGACCAATTTATTGAGACTTTTCACTGGTAGCTGTTTGTGTTAAATTCATACAGTATGATTAGTTAGCAAGATTTCCCAGAGTTTGTTTGAGTTCTCATTTCGGGTGTTGTAGATCCCTGATTTCTATCTTTAAGGCATATCTCCGTTGACTTAAGCATTGTTGTCTTTGCTCCAAATTAGTTATGGTTCATATTAATTTAAAGCACGGTTGGCACAAAGAAACATCGGTATCCCAAGAAGTTGTAAGTGGCAAGTAATTCTAGAGGACTGCTCAGGCTTAAGAAATCTATGTAATTCTTCAGACTTCCTCAGCCACAAAACAAGCAAACAAAAAACCAGACTAGTTCCACCAGTTCTTCCAAAATCAGAATTGTTATGAAAACAAAGTTACTCAATAGGATAAGGTTTAAGTTACCTCTTGTCAAGGCCTTTTCATTTTTCACAACTTTGATGTTTATATTTAAGTATTTCTGTGGATAAGTCCACATGGTGTATGTCAGTAAGCCAGTTGAAACTGAGATTCAGTGTGAAGTTTATGGAAATTTAATTGACCTTTTCTTTGGCCTTTTCTGCAACAGGTGCTCATCTTAGGTGAGTGGGACGAATGATAGTGAACAGTGTGGATTTTACTTTGCATGCATACCGTTCCAGTTAAAAAGTGAAAATGCCGTATTTCTCAACAGTGATTTCACCCCCCTCCTAAATGGTTTCAGAAGGCATTTGGGAAGGATTTGACTTGTGTTTTGGTTGGTGGGGTGAATATTTGGTTAAAGAAAAATGATTTCTTTTGCTTAAAATGGCTGCATTTTGGTAAAATGATGTCTTTTGCCCTAGCTTATTCTTTACTAACAGGCATCTTCACAGGTCTGTCTCTGGGTCTTATTTTCCTTATTTGTAAAAAATGTATAAACTGGCTATAAGTGAAGAGAGTGACTCAAAATGCCTTTGATCACCAAACATTTATTCAATGTCTTATTCTGTGCCAGACTCTGTTTGAGGCAATTGAGGATGGGGGTACAACATGGAAGCACATAGACCCTCCCCTGAAGTTCCCAATGGGAGCTGTACCACATTTTGTGCAGGCAGAAGGTGGTGGGGTGGTCTTATTGGTATTTTGTGTGGGGCTAAGTGCCTAGTGTTAAAGTGATGGTATGTAATAAACCCAAAACACAGGGAACCTAGAATAACTGAAGAACCTTGAGTGACTGGTAAGTTTGAATTCCACCTATCTTTACAATTTCTGGCCTTTTTAAAAAAAGTAGCTGTATTGTTCTGGGGAATTTGAAGGAGCGACCATTCTCTGGTATTCTTGTATATGTTCAAGTTTGAGACAAATGTATGGCAAGCATTTTCATGACTGCATAGAGCACAGGTGGCAAGCACAAGGCCCTCGGGCCGAATCTGGCCCTCCACCTTCTTTTCTCTGGGTCAGCACCTTGTTTCTACCCAGTCAGTGGCAGTGCCGAGCTCTTGCTTAACTGTTAAGGAGTAATTACATTTATACTGTCCTAAAATTACATTCAGCCCTTTGAAGGCAACCTCGAGGCTGATGTGGCCCCCAGTGAAAATGAGTTTGACATCCCATGCTTGGACTGCTCATCAGCAGTCAGTGATGTCATCATTAAATCTGCTGATAACAGCTCTGGTTCCTTCAAGCAGCTCGTGAGGGAGTGCCAGGAAAGAGCATTTCACTGTAACTGTGCATGGCAGAGACTGCAGTCTGGAATTTGGGGTGCAGCTCCGTATTTTGGAAAGTTGAAAATTTCAGTGTGGGCGGGGGGCGCGGGGAGTGAGAGTAAGGGTGCTCTGTTTAGCTCAAGGCCTCTGCCAACTGGCTGTGAGTCAGGGTGGGAAGTTGTACTTTGGACATGTCACTGGAGCAAAATGTGGCTGATGAGGAAAGACAGTGGGAGCAGAGGATCAGCCAGTTGCACTGATCCTTGCCTGTGCCTGGTTGTGCCTTTTCTTCGCCAAAGGTTTACGCTGATTCTATTTTGAGTTTTAATCCTGCATTGGTTTGTAAGGTGAAAAGTTTTGGGGTTGGCAGTGATTAATATTTTCTTTACATCTTGGTGTCTAAACACTGAAAGTGTCATTAAAGGTAAAGCTGTTTGACCATGTGGAGCTGAGCCCACTTGAACTTGTGACTCATATCTAGGTTTTCTCAGGTGCTGAGATAATTGGAAGGACAAAAATATTAAGGGCCTTGTTTTCAAGGAAGGCCAATTAAAATGAGCTATTTAGAGATAATTCAGAATGCCTTTGAACCCAATGTAAGATATATGCTCTATATTTATAATGCCATTTCTAGGTTATTTAATTTGTAGCTAATCAGTGTTGGAATTGTGACTGGAAAATGAAATGGGGAGTAACATGAATCTGTCAGACATGAATATGACAGTGGAATGTAACAAATGAGAGATTGCTTTTCCAGTTTAATAGAAGAGACAATAAATTTAGGGAAAGGTTGAAATGAAATGTGTGTGGTTTATTAATTAATAACACATTACAAAAAACTTCCTGAGATTAAGTAGACTTCCAAAATGTCTGACACATTTAAAAAATAAACTTGATATCTACAACATGTGTTCATATTGTAATTTCTGAACATCATTTGTTTACAGAAATAAAATAGTGAAACCATTGGGCAAAAATCTGTAGCATTTATACTAATTCAACTTGGGGAAGTATTTTGGTTAATGGGCTATTTTGTCTAACTTTCTGTTCTTTATATATACCAATAGATATATGTTTACCATTCTGAGGAATTTAATTTTCCTGTTTTTCAGTTTTAAAAAGAGCATTTTTGCTGCATAAAGCACATTCGATAAAGGATATGGAAAATACTTTTCAGTTGGTTAGAAATATTATACCTCCTCTAACTGCAAAGAAGCACAAAGGACAAGATGGAAGAATAGGCATAGTTGGAGGCTGCCAAGAGTAAGTGACTTGGGAAATGGTAGTATTTAAACAGTTCATGTCTGTTTTCTGGCTGTCTACCTACCCATCAGGCATCCATTCAACTGTCCATCTGTCTAGTTGTACCCCAGTAATCATTTCCAAATGTAGTGTGATATTATGACACTTGGTATTTTTCAGTGATGAACTTTAAGATGGAATAGGAGAAAATTCTAAGGGACTGTGATTGAGCTGTTCACTGATGTGTGTTATTACAAAGGTTTTGCCTATAGTTGGGACATGAGACTGTTTTTTCTTATCTTGTACTTTTCTATACTGACCAGACTCATACCATAAACATGTATTACTTTTGCAGTCAGAGTAAAAACACTCAGCATCTGCTTCATTTACTTTGTTGATTTAAAGACATTCCTGGAAGTCATTTATGAAATTTCACAGATCCTAGCTTCTTTTGAGGACTGTTCTCTCATCTGGTTTTATATATTTTGCTGCTGTGTTGTTTAACACATAAAGATTCATAATTTGTCCACACTTGTAAATACCTATTCCCTTTGACTTAAATTTGACCTTGGTTAGTATTTCTGTTTCTGCTTACATTCTGTGTGCTCTTTGCTTAGCCCTGTATTTTTAACCATTTATTATGTAGTTAGGTATACTTATTATAAATATACTTATAATAAGTATAATAAGGTATACTTATTATAAATAATATGTATCTAGATTTTATTTCTTTATCCAATATGATGGCAACTGCTCTTTTTAATAAGGGAAATAAACCTGTTAACATTTAGAGTTTACTTGATGTGCCTCTGAGTAAAAGGCACTAAAAAGTAAAAAAAAAAATTTACTCCTTATTTTACATTGTATTTCCATGTTGATTCATATAGTCTGATTCTTTTTTAAAAATATATTTTATTGATTATGCTGGTATATTTGTTCGTGTTTTTCTCCCCTTTATTCCCTTCTACCCTGCATGCCCCCAACCTCTGGCATTCCTTCACCTTACTTCCTGTCCACAGGTCATACATGTAATTTCTTTGGCTTTTCCATTTCTCATACTGTTCTTAACCTCCCCCTGCCTATTTTGTACCTACCATTTATGCTTCTTATTCTCTGTACCTTTCCCCCCATTATCCCCCTCCACAATGATAACCCTCCATGTGATCTCCATTTCTGTGATTCTGTTCTGTTCTAGTTATTTGCTTAGTTTGTTTTTGTTTTTAGTTTCAGTTGTGAATAGTTGTGAGTTTGTTGTCATTTTACTGTTCATGGTTTTTGATCATCTTCAATTTCTTAGACAAGTCCCTTTAACATTTTATATGATAAGGGTTTGGTGATGATGAACTCCTCTAACTTGACCTTATCTGGGAAGCACTTTATCTGCCCTTCCATTCTAAATGATAGCTTTGCTGGATAGAGTAATCTCGGATGTAGGTCCTTGCCTTTCATGACTTTGAATACTTGTTTTTAGCGCCTTCTTGCCTGTAAGGTCTCTTTTGATAAATCAGCTGACAGTCTGATGGGAACTCCTTTGCAGGTAACTCCTTTTCTCTTGCTGCTTTTAAGATTCTCTCCTTATCTTTAATCTTGGGTAGTGACATGATTATGTGCCTTGGTGTGTGCTTCCTTGGGTCCACCTTCTTTGGGGCTCTGAGCATCCTGGACTTCCTGGAAGTCAATTTCCTTTTCCAGATTGGGGAAGTTCTTCATTATTTGTTCAAGTAAGTTTTCAGTTTCTTGCTCTTCCTCTTCTTCTGGTACCCCTGTGATTCAGATGTTGGAACATTTAAAGTTGTCTCTGAGGTTCTTAAGCCTGTCCTCATTTTTTTGAATTTTTGTTTCTTCATCTGTTCCAGTTAGATGCTTATTTCTTCCTTTTGTTCCAAATTGTTGATTTGAGTCCCAGTTTCCTTCCCTTCACTGTTGGTTCCCTGTATATTTTTCTTTATTTCACTTTGCATAGCCTTCATTTTTTTTCTCTATTTTGCGACCAAACTCAAACATCAATCAGGATGTTCTGCGAGCATCCTGAATACCAGTGTTTTGAACTGTGCATCTGATAGGTTGGCTATCTCTTTATCACTTAGTTCTGTTTTTGGAGCTTTGATCTGTTCTTTCATTTGGGCCATAGTTTTTGTCTCCACACGCCTGTTACATAGTAAGGGGCAGAGCCTTAGGTATTCCCCAGGGTGGGGCTTGTAGTGCTATACGCAGGAGCTTATGCAGAGGAGGGGTTGGAGGGGGAACAATGCTGCTTCCTTGTCTCTGTTGGCTTTCAGTCACTTCCTCCACTACCCACAAGCAAACTGGGCCCTTCTGGTGCTGCTTCCTGGGTGGTTGGGGCTGTGTACGTTCTAGGACCCCATGGGTCTCTCCAGTGAATTCTCCTGTGAGACTGGGAGTTTGTCCTGTTGCTGTAACTCCCACAGGTGTTTTCAGTCAGAGGTTTGGAGGCTTTATTTCCTGGTGCTAGAACCCTGGCTTGTGCAGTCTGTCTCACGCCCCAGTGGTTCCCAGCGGTCCCTCCCAGTTTATCCACATGCAAATGTGGGGCCACCTGGTCTGCCAGCCACTACCTTGCTGCAAGTCCTCTCTGCCCCAGCTGTCCATCTCCGCCCCTCCTACCAGTTTGGGTGAATGTTTCTTATTTAACTGCTTGATTGTCAAACTTCCACACAGTTCTATTTTCTGTCAGTTCTGGTTATTTGTTGTTTTTAAATTTGTTGTTGCCCTTCTTTTTGGTTGTGCAAGGAGGGCACGTGTATCTACCTATGCCTCCATCTTGTCCAGAAGTCCTATAGTCTGATTCTTTATAAGTGGGTAAGTGGATATATGGTATTAATTGTATAGATGAGCAATAATTTATTTAACCAAGTCCCTATTGATAGGCAATTGTTTAACTATTCTTTTTTCAGTTGACAGTGTATCTGTAGATATCCCTTTATATGTATTTCCTGTGTACCCATTTGGGGGATCAATTCCTGGAAGATTTAAAAAAATTTTGCAATTGATTTTTAGAGAGAGGGGCAGGGAGGGAGGAAGAGGGAGAGGAAACATCGATGTGTGGTTGCCTCTCACATGTCCCCCACTGGGGAGCTGTCCCACAGCCCAGGCATGTGCCCTGACTGGGAATCGAACCAGCAACTCTTTAGTTAGCAGGCTGGCACTCAGCCCACTAAGCCACACCAGCCAGGGCAAATTCCTGGAAGCATTTTTACTGGAGCAGAGTACATAAACATTTTTAATGTTGATAAACATTGCAAATTATTCTTCCTCCAAAATTGCACTGTTGTGAGCTGCCTTCAACAAGCACGGGTTCCCCTCACACCCTGTGGTTATCGGCAGCCTTTGCTCTCTTGTAGGCAACCTATCCTGTGTATGTGTGTGTGTCATGCCCTGTCCTCTGTGTGTGTGTGTGTGTGTGTGTGTGTGGCATGCCCTGTCCTCGGGCGTTTCAGGCACCTGCTCTGCAGGACAGTGTTGTGTGTGCAGAGTGCCCACTGCTTTTTCCCCAGTTTGCTTTTCCTGGTATAGAAAAACTCTTCACTGCTTGGAATTGACATAAAAGTTGCAGTCACCATCTGATGCTGATTTCCAGGGTTTTCCTTTCTGTGCTTAAAAGTAGAGTTACAAGCATTCTGGAACAATAGGATAGAAGCCAGAGGGAAGAGTGAGTCTCTTCTCGTTTGCTCTGTGAGCCTCTGTGTGGCGCTACATTAAGATGACCATCGCCTGTGCTTACTGTTGCTCTCAGAGAGCTGACCCTGCTTCTTGGGTGCTGTCCAGTGCCAGGTGCTCTGGCTTCTGATTGATCCCTTAATCAAGCACCCACTCTCTGGCAGACGCCTTCAGTAAATTTGCACTGTCTTCTTAAACTGTCAGCTTTTGTTTTTTTCTCCTAACATAACAGTCCCACCCACCTTCCTTGCTAACGAAGCCTTAAATTTGTTGAGCTGCTTTTGCATTTTCTTTTACTTGCAGCTTTGTGTATTTCTGATACTTTTTATATCTGTGTATTAATCTAGAGAGGTGTCATCATGATATTGTTATCTCATCCAGTATACATCTTATATATTCTTTAATAGGTTAAAAAAGTTTCCCCACAGTTACTGTTTTATAAAGTTAATTCCTAGCTGCTTTATAGTTTTTGCCAATGTTGTAGAAGCTATCATATTTTCTAATCTAGTCTTAGTATAGAAAATGCTATTTTTATCTTTATTGTTTTTGGTTGATAGGAATCTGGCAACCTTGCTGAACTATTTCATACTAGGAGATTATGCTTTAACAACTTCATTGATGTCTAGTTGATAAAAAATTTGACAAGTTTGACATGTAAATGAATCCCTAAAACTGTCACCTCAAACCTTCAGTTTGAACATACCCATACTGGGAGATCACAGTCACAGAAAGCCAGAATTTGCCTCTCTTGACATAGTACAAAGGTGAAAGGCTGACTTTTCCGGTTCTGATCCATGTTTACTGAACGTTTACTGAACACTTACTAAGGGCTTGGTCCTGAGCTGGTGCCTGATGTCTGTATAGTTTGTTGATAAACCTGGTGTGCTTGTCTCATTCTCAGAAGTTTTTGACTGTAAATATCTTCTTTTTAGGTACACTGGAGCCCCTTATTTTGCAGCAATTTCAGCTCTCAAAGTGGTATGTTTACTTACATCTTGTTTATTAGGAAAAGTTGGGTTATTTAAATATGATTGAAGCATATGTTTTCCAATAGAAATCTACATAACATCTTCAGGTAATTGTGGGTAAGACAAACATCTTTAAATGTACCCTGACCTCTTTAGCACTGATAAAATAACTTGAAACTTACTTCTTTTAAAAATAAAGTTTTATTAGGATTGTGCTTTTCCAAAATGATCCTGGGATGCCTTTGCAGTGCTAGCTTAAGCAGTTGACATCTTTTGGCTTCGGCAGTTGCTCATGCTTTTTGATCAAGTCCTTACCACCCATTAGCACAGTTTATGTGACGTGCTCAGCTACACAGCCGAATTGCTTCCTGTAAGCTTCATAAGTGAGGCAGCCTGAGCCGGTCTGGACTGACCTGCCTCTTGAGTAACAGCAAAAGTCTGCCTTTATTTCTGGCCTTTTCCTAGGTTACGTCTTCTCTTAAGCCTCCTAGCTATAGTTCAACTGCTGCAGTTGGATATTTTTCTTTTATGGATAGTGCTGTGTAATTTGAATGGTTGAACACCACGTGTCCTGTGGTGAATGAGTGGCTCTTGCCGAAACCACTTTGGGTGTCTTTTGCGCATGTCCCATGTTAAGACAGCCTCTTGTACTTGTTTCTCAGGGTGCAGATTTATCCCATGTGTTCTGTACCCGGGAGGCCGCACCTGTGATCAAGTCCTACAGCCCGGAGCTGATTGTTCACCCAGTTCTGTGAGTTGGGCTGCACTTGGGGTGCTTTACTTGGAACCATTCTTGGTCTTGTGGTGTCTCTACACTGACTAAGAGCCTTTAAGTCACTGCTGTGCTGAGAGTTGGCAGGTAGATTGTTTCAGAGGAAAGAAGACAACTGTAAAACGAGCCCATTGTCTGGGGTCAGGAGAAGACAGACAGTGGTGTGTGACAGCGTGGGATAAGATCTGAGTATCAGGGCGACATGCCCAGGGCTAGCACCTGTGTGCTGTCAGAAATGTCTGGAGGTTCCTAGGCCCAGGGAAGGTCTGTGGGCCTGACTGGACAGTGCACATGTGGCCGGAACGAGGCGTCTGTTGGGCAGTAACAAAACCGTTCACTCGTTTAGCAGATCTGTGCAGGCCCTGTCCTGGATTCCACGGGAAGGGCATCGAACGGAGCAGACGGAGACGCCCACCTGTTTGCCCCAGAACTTCCCGTGTGATGAAAATGCTCTCCCTTGGTGCTGTCCAGCACTGTGGCTGCTGAGCACCTAAAATGTGGCCAGAAGGAATCAGGCCACATTTACTTGAATTTTAATTAAATTTAAAAGCCACATGTGGCTGGTATCTACTCTGTTGGGCAGCACAACTCTGGAGACAGACAAACAGCTAAGATAATAGTGTGTCGGGATGATAAGCACCATGGGTAGATGGGAGCAGGGAAGGGACGGAATGCTGGCTGTGGGTGACGTATGTACTGTGTGTGTGTGCAGTCTTAATAGGGTGTCTTGGGCAGTGATACAGCAAGGGGCATTCAAATAAAGGCTTGAAGATGGTGAGGGAGTGAGTTCTGCAGACAGGAAGAGCTGGCCCAAGAGCTCAAGCTACAGGTATGTTGGGGAGCACTTGGGTGACCAGAGGTTCTCAACCAGGCTTTGCAGGTTATGGGAGTCATTGTAAGGCTTTTGTCTTTCACATGAATGAGAAAGAGGCTGCTGGAGCATTTGAGCAGGGGAGGGATAAGGACCGTTTTCGTTTCAAAAGGCTCATCTGGCTACTGTGTTGAGAATAAGCTTTTGGAGCATAGGGAGGAAGCAGGGGTCCCACTAGGAAGCTTGTAAGGGTCCTGGTGATTCCATGATGGGATAGAATGGGTCAGGTCCTGGGTACCTTTTGAGAAGTACAGCCCCAAAGCAGCTGATCAGTGGTATATGGGAAAGAGGAGACTCAGGAGTGCCACCCAGGGTTTGGGATGAGTGAGTTGTCATTTAATGATGTTGGGTACCTGGGGCAGAGGTGTTGGTCAGGATTTGGGTTTTGGACATGTTTTAGGTTATCTGTTAGATGTCCAAGCAGACATGACTGGTAAGCATCGGATAGGAGTGGGGCAGTCAGGGAACATGTAATTCTGGGAGTTGTTAATGTGTGGATGGTGTTTAAAGCCAAGAAACAAAGCTGAGGCCACACAGGAGTGCGTGCAGATGGATGAGGTGGTGGAAGAGGAGGGGTGTTGCAGAGTCGAGTGAAGAACTGTTTGCAGACTGTTCTGGAAGGGCCTGTGTGAGGACCTAGATGGGTGGTTGGATTTCATGGTGTAGGGTCATTGGTGCCTTTGACAAGGGCAACTTGTGGGGGACAAAGCCTTATGGAGTGGGTTCTAGGCGTCTAAGAAACGAAATGACGAACAGGAAAGTTGTGAAAAACAACGAAATTCTGTGCAGCTGTCAGGTCTTGTTCTAAAGGAGGGCACTGTTAATGCTTTAAAGGGGCCAGTCTCGCGAGTCTCGTAGATGACCCCCAGTGTCTGATGTGCAGGACAGTCTGTAAGTATGTAAAACCTGCGCTGTTACTTCCACTCCTATGTGATGGAAACAGCTGGCCAAGATAATTTTGAAATTAGCCATAATGTCTTATTTTAATGTGCTTAAATTTTTTTTCATGAGCCTTGTTTTTTTTTCTTTAAAGGAGGAAAAAGTGTTGTACATTTATAGCTATATACTCTGTGTTATTGACTCTATTTCTGTTGGGAAGAAAGTTCTATGATGACTTAGTTTTCATGAGACCCAAGTCTTCCGCTGATTTTACAGACCCTTGTGGACCACATGAGTAAATTGCTAAGGCCCCTCCCACGGTCTTGGAAGGGGCACAGCAAGTAGAGGTTCTGATGCTCGAGTTTTATCACAGTGAATATGCCTCTGCTTCTCTTACTGGTACCCTTACTGGTACTCTGTTCAGCCAGACTGGTCTTTTGCCATTTCCCATAAGTAAGCACTTTTCCACCTTATTTCTTACCCATGCCACTCGTCCTTTACCTTGTTTGCTTATTCCCAGAGGGTATGGCTTCCTCTTCAAGCCTTTCCAGTAGAGGTGGAAAGAAAGGCTCTTTCTTCGTATACCCTTCATGTACCACTGGGACTAGAGGTGGGATGTGCATCCCCCTTGTTCTTCATCGCTCGTCTCAGACCATGGCCTCTCTCTCATTGCTAAAACCTCCAGCTGCTTCGAACTCACACTGTCAGACTGTGGTACCCACTCCTCCTCCTCATGGCAGCTAGGAGTGGTACCCACTCCTCCTCATGGCAGCTGTGTCAGACCCCTGGATCATTCCTAGAATATTTAATGTCTGGCTCAGTGTCTCTCCACCATTGCTCTCCTTAATTAACGATTTGTAATGTGTGTGACTGCTCTATTGAGATATAACTTACTATTCACTCATTTTAATTATATAATGATTTTTGGTGCATGTACCAAAGTGTTGCTATAACCACAATCTAATTTTAGAAGACTTCCATCACTCCAAAAAGAAACCCCTCCATCCATTACCACCCCTAGCCTGAGGCAACCTAATCTTCCAGTCTACATAGGTTTGCCTTTTCTGAACAATTCATGAATGAAATCATATGTGGCCTTTTGTGTCTGCCTTCTTTCACTTAGCATAACATTTTTGAGCTTCATTCTCGTTGTAGCATATAGCCATACTTCATTCGTTTTTTTAAAAAAATAATAAATTTATACCTCTTTTACCCATTGCTGCCCTTCTCCTCTGGTAACCACCAGTCTATTCTCTGTATTTATGAGCTTTTTTTTTTTAGATTTTACATATAACAAAGATCGTATGATATTTGGCTTTGACTTATTTCACTGGAAGGCAGTTCAATGTTGAAAGCTAAACTATGCTGGGGTGTTAGAAGATGAACCATGCTGCAGGGAAGACCAAGGAGGGTGCTGTACAAGTGCAGGGTGGGGGTCTGGCTTGGATCCTGGAACAGGAAAAGGACACTGGGGGGGAAACTGGGAAAGTCTGTAGTTTCATTAATAAACAAATAAGTGAAGTTTTAAGTAAACTGACCTGCCCTTCTTTTCATTGTTTAGCGACAGCCCTGATGCCGTTGGTGAAGTGGGAAAGTGGTTGCCCCGACTGCATGCCCTTGTCGTAGGCCCTGGCTTAGGCAGAGAGGACGCTCTTCTTGAAAACGTCAAGGTAACGTGCGGGCGTATTAAACAAACCTGTCCTGATAGACTGGATGCTTAGATCTCGGGAAGTCAGAACAGAAACATTTTTCTTACATTTCTGTTTAGTGTTTTGAGTGCCCTATCATGGAATAATTAAGATGGATAACATTTGGTTTGGGGGATAGAGGAGGAACTAGGCATAAAAGTGGTGACGAACTTAAAACAGAACTGGACCGAAGGAATCTCTTTCTTACTCTTGAGGCACTGACTTTTTCATACTGTGATGGGAGGAGGTCACTGTGGAACCGGATGTTTCATGGGTGTCAGCCTGACGTTTCTGTGTTTTACACATTGGCAAGTCCTGGTATCCAGACTGGGCAGTGTTAGCACGGGCAGGGTTTGAGGTCAGGTTTGATTCACCTTCCAGCGCTATTCCTTTCCTGCTGGGGACTCTGGCGGCTTGCTCCGCCTTGCAGGCCTTGTAGGCACAAGGCCTACACCCTCTAAAGGGGTGATTGGGACTCAGGAGTTACTGAGAGCCACATTTTATAGAGTGCATTGCACAGTGCCAGGTTAGGCACAGTACACGATACAGTGGGGACAGTTGAAGTCACTGCCACAGATGGAGAGAGTAGGAGAAGATATTTCTGAGAGTTAATCTACCAGATACTTTTGTTATAAGTTGAAAGTTAAAACACAAAAGGTATCTGTTGGTTCTAGCTTTGTGTTTTTATTTTTATTTTGTAATATTTTATTTATTTATCTTTAGAGAGGAAGGGAAGGAGAGAAATATCAATGTATGATTGCCTCTCATGAGTCCCCTGCTGGGAACTGGCCTGCAACCTAGGCATGTGCCTTGACTGGGAATCGAACTGGGATCGCGTGGTTTGCAGGTCCGCGCTCAATCCACTGAGCTACACCAGCCAGGGCTAGCTTTGTGTTTTTAGTTGGGTCCTCTTGAGAGCTCTGTTAGTCCAATTTTTTAAGTGGTTTTCCAATGTTCTTGGTGTTCTTTTTGGGTCTAGAAAACCCTGGACCTCAGGCCCTGTTGGCCAGTTGATTTGCAGCTTTGACCTCTGTTCTATTCTCTGCTGTCTTCCTCAGATAAAATCTGCATACATGCACAGCCTTGCCAGACGCCTGGTGTCCCAGAGTGGCCATGAGACCCTAGTTACATATATCCACATATCAATACACATATATACATATCCATCCATCTATATATATATCCATCTATATATATATATATATATATATATATGGTCATCCAGAAGGTATTCAGCCACGTACTATGAAAAATAGAGGCATTTATGGAAGAAGATACAAGAAACATTGTACACAGCACAATGATGCCTTAGTCTCCTTCAAAGTAGGCACTTTGGGATCTCACACAGTTCTCCCAGTCACCATCCATTGCCCTATCATATTTTCCTGAATCTCACAAGGATCTGAAATCTCTTCCTTTCAAAAGTGATTTTAGTTTTGGGAAAAGCCAGAAGTTGCAGGGCACCAAATCTGGGGTGTAGGGGGGCTGAGTCACCTGGGTGATTTGATGTTTCGCCAAAAAACTGCGTGAGACACGATGTGTGAGAGGGCTTCATTGTCTTAATGAAGCTGCCAATCACCAGTTGCCCAAAGCTGTGGCCTCCTAAATCATCTGAATGGTTTCTGCAGAGGAATGTTCAAGCTTAACGCAAAATTTGTTGCAGACTCATTGCTCTACTTGCTCAGTTATTTGAATGTGATGGCCACACAATACATGTTCTTGCTCAACAGCGTCTATCACCCCCACTGACAAGTCCAGCAAAGTTGTTACTGTTCATGCACACACATTCCAGTCCACTGTCCTTGGCTGCCAGGTTACATCGATGTTGTGCAAACCATTCTCATTATAGTCTCGGCTGGACTTTTTCTGGGCAGACCTTGTGTGAGAGATGGTGCTATAACCTCAGGATGTCGGGAATGACTCCAAATCAAGGAATTTGCCTGATGCCTTCAGATGGTGCCTGGCCATGTGCCCATTAAAGGATTCAAGGTCATACCAAACATGATTTAGCATTTTCATCATCATTAACCAAGAGGGACTATTTTTGACTTAGTTTTGTTTCTTTTTTTTTTTTTACAAACTGTAGTGGTTGTTTATTAGTGTTACTATATGTGCACACAATTCACTGCTCAAATTACCTTTACCTTCTCAAACAATGTTTTTTAATATATTTTATTGATTATGCCATTACAGTTCTATTTCCCCCCCTCATTCCCCTCCACCCTGCACACCCCTACCCCACCATTCCCCCCTTTAGTTTATGACCATGTGTCTCAAGTTCTTTAGATTCTATATTTCCCATACTATTCTTGCCCTCCCCCCTATTTTCTACCTATCGTCTATGCTACTTATTTTCTGTACCTTCTCCCCCCTTCTCCTCCTCCCACTCCCCTGTTGCTAACCCTCCATGTGATCTTCATTTCTATGGTTCACTCCTGATCTAGCTGTCCTTTTAGTTTGCTTTTGTTTTAGATGTAGTTGTTAATAACTGTGAGTTTGCTGTTCTTTCACTGTTCATCTTTTTTATCTTCTTTTTCTTAGATAAGTCCCTTGAACATTTCATATAATGAGGGCCTGGTGATGATGAACTCCTTGAATTTGATCTTATCTGAGAAGCACTTTGTCTGCCCTTCCATTCTAAATGAAAGTTTTGCTGGATAGAGCAATCTTGGATGTAGGTCTTTGGATTTCATAACTTGGAATACCTCTTTCCAGCCCCTTCTTGCCTGTAAGGTCTCTTTTGAGAAATCAGCTGACAGTCTGATGGGAACTCCTTTGTAGGTGACTGTCCCATTGTCTCTTGCTGCTTCTAGGATTCTCTCCTTCATTTTCATCTTGGTTAATGTAATTATGATGTGCCTTGGTGTGTTCCTTCTTGGGTCCAACTTCTTGGGACCCTCTGAGCTAGCTTCCTGGATTTCCTGGAAGTCTATTTCCTTTGCCAGATTGGGGAAATTCTCCTTTATTATTTGTTCAAATAAGTTTTCCACTGGTGGCTGTTCCTCTTCCCCTTCCGGTACCCCTATAATTCGGATCCTGGAGTGTTTAAAGATGTCCTGGAAGTTCCTAAGCCTCTCCTCATTTTTTTGAATTCTTGTTTCTTCACTCCTTTTCTGTTTGGCCATTATTTGCTCTCTTCTGGTCCACTCCATTGATTTGAGTCCCAGTTTCCTTTCCATCACTATTAGTTTCCTGTGCATTTCCCTTCATTTCAATTAGTTTAGCCTTCATTTGTTCCTCTAATTTGTGACTAAAATTAACCAATTCTGTGAGCATCCTGATCACCTGTGTTTTGAACTGTGCATCTGAAAGGTTGGCTGTCTCTTGGTTGCTTAAAATTATTGGCTCTGGGGCTCTGAGTTGTTCTTGAGCCATGTTTTGATCTGTTCGCACCTGTTACATACCAGGAGGTGTTCTCCAGGGCGGGGCCACCCAGGTGGCTGGGTTGTGATGCTATATGTGGGGGCGGGTCAGAGGCCACCCAGGTCGCTGGTTTGTGGCGCTGTATGTGGGGGCAGGTCAGAGAGGGACAGTGCCAGTCCCCTCTGCCACTTCCTGCCACTGGGGCCTGCAGTGGTTTATCTGTGTTCGAATGTGTGACTGTGGTCAGCCCTCAGTGAGTCCACCGCCTTGTGCCCTCAGTGGGTCCCCCCACTACTCCACACCTGGGATCCGCCCATGGCTGCTGGTGCACCTGGGTTGTGCGCCCGGGTCGGTCCGGTGGATCTTTTTCTGCCTGACCCCTCTCTGCTGCTGGCTCTGCCCCTCTTACCGGTTTGGCTGAAGGGTTTGTTGTTGTCAGACTTCCATGAAGTTTAATTTTCTGTGGTTTGGCTGCATTTTTGTTGCTAAAACTTTGTTGTTTTTAAACTTAGTTGTGCGAGAAGGTGCAGTGCTTCCACCTACGCCTCCATCTTGGCGGAAGTCCTCCTATTTTTGACTTAGTTTTCATGTTTTGGGCTAAATTCAACAGACTGAAAGGAAGGTGCAGAAAGCTGTGTGTTAATTGTACTTTCTTGGCAATCTGATTGGCAAAGAACATTTAAAAAAATTATTTATTTTCAGAGAGAGGGGAAAGGAAGGAGAGAGGGAGAGAAATATCAATGTGTGGTTGCCTCTCATGCGTCCCCCACTGGGAACTGACCTGCAATCTAGGCATGTGCCCTGACTGGGAATCGAATCATAATCCTTTGCTTCACAGGCCCGCACTCAATCCACTGAGCTACAGCAGCCAGGGCGGCAAAGAACATTTTTAAAAGGTAGGAAGGGTGTTTGCTTTACCAGAATTTAGTGAGAACGCGGGTATTAAGTATAGCTCCCAGACAAATCTGCCTGTTCCAGCCTTTGAGGTGGAAATTGGGGTTTGAAATTTCACTTTTTGTGAATAATCATTGAGGAGAAACAACCATGATAAATGACAGGTGACTGGGGTGAATGGAATCGAGCAATAAATTTGTTTTTTTACTTTAAAATTGGTAGTAGATACATTTTATTGCCTCTTTCAAAAGGGTTGATTCAAATGTGTGTATCCTCTGGAGTACGTTTTGCTAAGTGAAATAAGCCAGATGCAGAAAGACGTACTGCATGATCTCTGTGTGCAGTCAAAATAGTCCAACTCATAGAAGCAGAGGGTGAAAAGATGGCTGCCGGGGCTGGGGTTCAGAGGACAGGGCGATGTTGGTCAAAGTGTCCGCATTTTCAGTGAGGGTGAGTGAGTTTGGACGTAGAGCCTGGTGACTAGAGACAGTGTTGTATTATATGTTGAAATTTGCTAAGAGGCAGGTAGGTCTTAATTGTTCTGACCTATTGAGGTGATAGGTATAATAGCTTGATTGTGGTGATTATTTCACCATATATACATCAAAACATCAGCTTGTACACCTTGAATTTATACAATGATTTGTCAACTGTACTTCAGTAAATTAGGAAAAAAACAAATGTATCCTGAGTTACATGCTTGGGAAGGGGACAGGGGATGTCTG